AGAGAGAGAGAAAGAGAAAGAGATAGTGTTGGACCGACCCTGAGCGAGGCATACGACACTTCTCAGGCTTGAAGCTCGGGCAGACTCAGCCATGTTTGTGGGGTGCTCAGGACTCAGACGTAGTCGCCGCTGCCTTTTGTGTTTCGGGCCCCCAGTAGAATCCGAAATCCTAGGCCCCAGTGTCCGTTGATGAGGGCAACTTTAGTGCACGGGTTTGCAGATCAAGGGTGTTGAGCCACTTGTTCACAGTCTATGCACCGTGGCAGCGTTTGCTGCTAGGCTCTTCGGTGTCTAGTGTTGAAGGCTTCAGCACCTCGGTTGGTTGAGGAGCAAGCACGCAAGAGGTTGAAGGTTCTGTGCTGTAATGCGAAAGCACAGACATTCTGCAGAGGGCCTACGGAACTAATCAGGAATCTTTATCGGACGTTCTGACCTCGTCAGGGTTCCCGTCCATCCGGACCCCAGCAATCTCAAGCCGCCTAGGTCACGAATGTGGCCCCCGGGCGCATTGCCGGCTTTACGGCCGGGGCCTAGGAGAACCCGACGCCGAAATTCCAAACCCTCCGCCGCACTTGTATGACCTCAAATGAACGGTAACCGACGGCATAAAGACTTGACGAGGGCTGTGTGCTAGCCCAAACTCTGCACTCTCCACCCGAACACTTTAGACTACAACGCAAGTCGTTGGGTTCTAGTCACTCTTTACGATCCTGGTATGCCAAAAAAGCCCGGACAATGAGCCAAACCCAATGCCCAATAGAAAGCTGGAGGATAAAGTCACCGCTTCGCCAGCCAAGGAAACAAGACACAAACTACCTGCTTCGGGGATCTGTGTTGCCACTAGCAGAACGGGTTTAGGGTTCCGCCCAAACACCTGGGCCTGGGCCGTCAGCGGCTTGTCGAGGCGCCGGGCTTCGAAGCCCTGTCCGGCAGCGGCGAGGTGGCCGGGATTCATTGCATTCTCTTGTTATACAAGCTTTGTTGACGCTTTTCGGGCCTGGGCTTAGGCTTGCAGGGTTCACCATGGGCCTCGTTTCTGTACACCTTAAATGACCAGCGGCAGGCAAGGTTTTCTAGGATTATTTTGATTTTGGCGTTTGCATGTCGAACGAGATGGTTTCTGTGAGTTTTGGGACACGCGATTCGCAACGACGTTTGTTTCACTCATTGTGGTGCTGCAGCCAGATTGCAATGACTTCTGGCATCAAGTTTAACACCAAAGTGCTTGGTAGATAGAAACCGTCTTAGTAATAGCAGTTGTTAGTAGTAGTTAGTAGCAGCTTGTAGTAGTTAGTAGTAGCAATTAATAGTTAGAAGTTGTTAACGGTTAGTACTCTTAGGTAGTAGCAGGCAGTAGCAGGCAGTAGTAGGTAGTAGTAGAAGTAGTAGT